TGATGAGGGCAATGAATGTACAAATGTGCTTTACACAATTGATGTGTGTATGGATTGTGATAAGAGTTGTATGAGCCCCTAATAAAACAATTTTAAAAAAAAGAAAAGAAACCCAAAGGGGCAGTTCTACCCTGTCCTATAGGGTTGCTATGCATCAATATTGACTCAATAGCAGTGAGTTGAGTGTCTTGGCTTTTGGCTTAAGCAATTACACACCCATGATGCTGCATTTCAAAAAGACAAGGAAGATCAAGGGGTGGTGGGGGAATTATCATTTAGCAAACATTTTTTCTAATTCATCTTGATTGAAGAATGTATCAAATCCAAAATACATGTTCATATTGTCATATGTAAAATATTATGTGCTTAAATTAAATTACTTTATTGGTTTAATAACAGCCTTCCAAATGAATGGATATATATGCTATTACACACGTATGCAAATATATACATAGCATCACATCTTTCTACTTCTTCTGTTAAACTATTGACTTGCCCTTAAAAACATGTAGTGTTCACTTTACCAGTCCAGAAGAGGATGAAAAAAGAAACATTAAGGCAGTAGCAAGAAAATCAGATCTAAGGAATGATAATGGCATTAGGATAGGGTATAGATCCAACACTTGAAATAAATTTTTGGCAAGTAATGCAAATGACACAACGATATTTGTTGAAAAATGGTCACAAGCAAACCTATTTGAATAAAAAACCTTTTGGAAAATTCAAAGGAAAAACACGTTTCTTATGTCCTGAAATCTATAATTAGGAAACCCCATTTATAGAAAGCTTTACTCCCCAAACCCATGTACATCACTGAGTCAGAAACAATTTAACATAGTCTAATGGACTGCCTCCGTATTCAAATAGAGCCCTGTAGATACCTGTAATCTAACTAGGATTGGCTGGGTAGATTTCCATGGAAGACTCGGACTCAGACTAACTGCTCCTCAGATCATTTCTCAGAATATTCTGGGATGTGTGGTTTAAAGTACCAATTCCTGATCCCTAAACTCTGGGACTGGGGCCCGGGAATTTGCCTTTTAGCAAGTTCCCCAGGGAATTATAATATTAGAGGCTAAGAACAACTACTCTCATCAAGTAGGTAGAATAAAATAGCATTATTAGGATTTCGCTGGCCTGCCTATATAAGTATTCCCCTTCAATTGACAGAATACAATTTTTGATTGAATGTGTACTTTGAATTCCCACACATCTGATAAGTCAGAAGACATGAGAAGTTTTCAAAAAAGTTCATGGAAAAATTTCATCATCTTTTCATTACCCTTTCCCATGAAGTTTCTGAAGCCCACTCATAATTCATGCATCAAAATCTCTCAAGGTAAAGCATACGGCCTTTCTGTTTTGCAGGAGGAAAATGGCCAAATAGCGGCAAATTTTATTCAAATCCTTTTGAAACTAGTTAAAAGACAAATACACAAAGTAAGCATTGTAAACAAATACTTACAAAACACTCATCACAACGAGAGCCATGTTATAGCTTTCCATTCCTTTTTTCTTTTCTACAGATCAAAAAAAGGGGGGGGCACTGGATTAGTGCATCAGAATCAGGCCTGTGATGAAGATCACTCATGTAACATGCATTTTAAAAGAACTAGGAAAAAAATTCATTGAATAAATAAAAAGAACTTGAAAAAAAACTTTTTAAATAATAGACAAAGGGATTGAGGGTGAATTCCTTATGCTACCTTCCTCTTTATCACACAGTCTGAAAGTGTCAAACATACATCGGTCCGTCAAATTTGACCGCTATGACAACTTGATTTCATCTAAAATAAGCAATTCAATACATCATATACAATCTTTCCTACGTATTTTTGCTAATATTTGCTACATATTACCGCTGCAAATAATACGTGAGTGGGATTTGTATAGCGCAGGTCCCTCATTAGTCAGGAAAAAACATCACCCTCACCTGATGCCAAACTTTTAAATGATAAAGAGCCATGAATATGAAATGATGGATAAACATATTCACAAGCAGATCAGTCTTAGAGGAAGACCTAATAATGACAGGGAAGGAGAGGCACCCCTCTGAGAGACAGAGAGGCCGAGAGAGCAGAGACAAAACGCCTTCGACTGAGCGTGGGGGAAATAAACTCAAATCCAGGGTTGGCCCTGTTGCTGGGCTGACCTGGAGCACACAGGATGGACAGCGGATCATCACGATGGCCCACTCAAAGACGGAAACCAGGGGAGCAGGGAGAGTGGGTGGTCAGGTGCAGGAGGCTTGGGTGAACTGGACAGGAGGCCTCCCTCCACCAGCAGCTACTACATGAAGGCATTTGGATCCAGGGCTTATAGACCTGATTGCTTAATTTTTTTAAAAACCTTCAAATTTTAAAATACCAGGTGTGCCAAATAAAATACTCCCATCGGCCACAAGCCTGCTGTTTTGAACAGAGGCTCTCACGGTCTGTCTTCTGTGATTAAAGCCTGAGGAACCTCATCAGAAGTGGAGGGGAGGGGGAGGCCTTGCCTTCACCTACGTGCAAGCAGCACGCTCTGCGGCATGCAGCTGCACTACCTGTCTGCTCGCTCTGCCAGCTACCTGTAACATGATTCCCTTTGACAGCTAAGCCCGCCTCTCCCGAGGAGCGCTGAGAAGAAAGTTTAGGGACTATTTCTGCCGGTCGGCTGAAAGGTCTCCTTCTCTTTCGTAGGCCGCTGAGTTTTCCAGGGTCTTCAATGGATTGGTTTACCACCGATTCTTCCATTAACAAGTCTGTCTCTAATAAGGAAATAAAATGAATTTTTATTCAGATAGGGGTGGGGTGGAACCTTCTCAACTATAAGAGAAAATGGCTTGCTTGGTCATTGGTTTCCCTTTTTTTTAAGCCTTGGCAACACTCTTTGTTCCTGAGGTACTTATGGCCTAAATTCAAGTTTTGCTTTTTTTAACCTAGATATTTATGTATTTATTTATCCAACAGTTTTATTGGCACATCATTCATATGTCATACAATTGGACAGTTCAATTGTCCAATCACATCAAGGGGAATTGTATAATCACCACCACGTCCATCTTAGAGCCTCCTCCCCCCCTTCCATGGTTATATCGCCTTTAAACTGAGTTGTGCGATCACGATCAGCTCTAGTGCTCCCTCCGCCCCCCCACCCCTGCCTTCATTATTTACTCCCCAAATCCCCATTTCCTCCCCATCACTCACCCCCCCCCCACCCCTGCATTCCTTATAACACCTTGTATCAGTTATTATCGCTATCTATCCACTCCTCCTGTGCTTCACAGCTGGGAAACCAAACAGAAAACAATGAAAGACGTGCTCTAAGGTGGTAAGGAGGAGCTCTCATTAGTATAAAGACAAAAATATAAGAACCCCATCAACATTCAAAAAGCCAGGGAAGACATTTCTGTCATGGAACAGGTCAGAGATACTTGCACCCAAAACACGCTCAGATCATGTCTATAGGGAGGACAACTGGACTGGTACCCAGTTCGATCCTGCAGAGTCAAGATTACAATGGTCTCTGCCCGACAGTAAGGCTGTTCGGGGCTCAGTGTTAGAGAGTACAATGACCCCATAATGAGGGGTCACTATTCTAGGAAGAATGAACTGTATTAATAAATGATGGAAGCATTAGAGTGAATTTGCCAGGTGCTGTATTAAATATTAATGTAATTATTTCAGTGACGGAAACAACAGTCTGCCTACCTACATTGGATCCTTAGAAGAATGCCCAACAAAGGTCTGGCATGTCACTGTCCACCCCAAAGGGAGGATGGAGGGCCTTATAACAATGTCAGTGTCCGATGGGGGTTTGCCAGAAAGCAGGCATAGGCAAAAAGCATCCGCTAATGACCTAAAAGCTCATTTTTGCCATTGGTTTCAACCTTTTCCTTCATCAGACATTTTTTATTAGAAGCTCATTATGTAGCCAAACCAATTTTTGAAATTTCATTTTCTTTACTCCTGATTAGGAGTTTAATTATGAAACAGCCAAAGGGAGGAGAAGAGAGCGAAAAATAATCACTCACTAATAAAGCTTTAAATTAACTTGAGGTGACTGACAACCCCCCCCCCCAAGCCGGTATTTCAAATGGCTATATGTATGTATGTATGTCTGTATGTTCACATATGTTTTTATAATATGTATTTTAAGGAATATGTACACAGAATGAAATCGCTTCTCCGCAGTCAGCTTCTAGGACTTGCTGTCACCAAGGCCACACATGTTCAGGCATGCATTGCTACTTCCAAGAAGTGTGGGCCGCCTAAGGGCTTTCAAAGCCAAGTGAGCAGAGCGGTCAGGTGGATCAGGTTACACAGCCCCTGCCTGCAGCCAGTGTCATGTGCTCTGCAGAGACAAGGACCAGTGGCAGCGCCTAGCTGCCTGGTGGTCTCGGGCAAATCACCGAAACTCCGTGTGACTCCATTCCCTCTTTCTTAAAACAGAGAAAAATGACGACCTACCTCAGAGAGTTGCTTTGAGTATGAAGTGAGTTATAATCTGTATAATGTACACTGAATGATGCTCTGGCGTGTGATAAGCACAAGATGAGCGTATAGATAATGCAGTGTTCTAAAGCCCTACGGGCGGTAGAGCAAGTGGGGCAGATGGAACCACTGCAGAGAGAGCCCTTCCAACACCATCCACCGGGCTCCTGCTATGATCGTGAATGATTCATCCACTTTGCTAGTGCATGTAGATAAATAAATAAAGATACTAACCCAGTTGTTTAAAATAATTCTCCAGGGAACTCCAGGAGTTCTTCTCGATTAAAGATTTGACAAGGCCCCAGGGTTGCTTCCGGTACCGCACGTCTGTGGAGACTCTGATGGGGCAGAAGGAAAGCTGGGTGAGGCGTGCACGAAGAATGCGCACTGCCAGTGCGGACGCCGCTGGCACCAATACCGGAATGAAGCTGAAGACAGTATTCAGTAGGAAACTACAGAAAAAGGAAAATTCCAAAGGCCTCCAGCGTCTCAAAAAAAAGCATGTATTGATTACGTCTCAAGAAAGTATCCAGTGCTCTCATTAATTCATCAGTGTTTCCTTTGGAATATTATCATTTTCTTTCTTCCCTTTCTCTAGCCTAATAGCAATACACGTTAAAAATAAATTCTTAATTTTCCAAATGCCTTGTACAAAAATCTCTAGGGATCGTCAATCAGTTGAAAGTTGGTAAGCATGCTGGACCCGGGTCAAGCATGCCCTGGCCCTACCCTCTCTTCATTACACGAACATGTCTCATGTAGGACACACCACAGTGCTGTTAGCTGCCACGAGTCAGCTTCCACACACAACTGAACGATCCTACACCATCTCCATGATCCTTAGGGTATTTTCACTGCTGGATTTGGGGAAGATTCCGAGCTGTTCTTGCTGGCAAGCCTTAGTCTGGAGGTTCCACTGAAACCAGTTCAGCCACATAGCAACAGTAAGCCTCCATTACTGGGGGTCTCCCAGGGGGAGGTCGAGGATTTTTCACCATTGAGTCCCTGCAAGCCCCAGCCCTCTGGCCATTAAACAGGGTCATGGGACTAATCTGATTAAAGGACGGTGAAGCCGGGCATAAATCTACAGCTCTATCTTCCTGCAGCCACGACAGGACCCTTGTTCTCGATTACTCAACAGATAATCGCCAACCCGCCACTGAATTTGGGCCTCGAGCGAGGCGCTTCACTCTGCTCACCTCAGCAGGGTGTGTAATTTTATTAAGAAGCAAAACTTGGCTGTGTGCAGCGACTAGTAACATTTCAGCATGAACACCCCACAAGAGCATACGCTAGCCCAGGGATGCTCAGTACATCGATCGCGATCTACTAGTCGATCACAAATGTAGTGTGGGTGGATCACATGGCATTAAAAAAATAGACGTAAGCCTACCATCAATCCCGTCACTTAACTGATATACAGTGCAGCCAATCAGATGCAATCTTAGGTGTCAAACGCATGCACAAACTACTGCGCTAAGTGCAGCAAAACTGACAAGCTAAGTTATTGCCAATTTTTAGACCTTGTTTTTTTTTTTCTCTTAAACTTAAGAAAGGGTATTAAAATGAGGGGGGGAGCTGGACCAAGTAAGAAGACAAAAACGGATCACTTTCTAACGGAATGGGAGATTTTGACACTACAAGACAATGGTCAGCTGAAGTCCAGAGTGCATGAACAGTTCTGGAACTTACTCGCAGAGGGAAAGTGCACAAACATGAGAAAATGTGCTACCTCCTTGACTGCATTATTTGGCTCTACTTATTTATGTGAGTCAGCCTTTCCCCACATAAAGATCATTAAGTCCACGTATCATTCCACCCTGAATGATATCATTTGGAAGTGTGCTTGGGGCTGGCTGTCAGCAGCTACTTTCCGGACTATGCGTCCCTGGCTCATTCCATTCCGTGCAAGTCATCAGAGTAAACTCAGGTAACGACAAAAAATGTACATAGTTAATTGTGTTATGTTGTGCAATATGGACTCATGCGGTTCTGCAAAGTACATAAACATACATTGTACATATAAAGAATTCTCAGTGCATTTATGAATAAATGTAATAAATAAGTAAAAATAAATATGTTTTGCATTTTTGTAATTGGTCGATTATTTTGACTTGATCATTTTATAAGTAGCTCTGAGCTAGCCTATCCTGAGTAACTCAATCATTGACACAGCTTACCTGAGCCTGCATCTCTGCTTGGAAGACCGGAGGATGCAGTATCTGTTCAAGGTGTAGAAGTAATCATGGTATGGGACATCATGGGTCAGGACTTCCGAATCTATCAAATAAAACTCTGCTTCCCGACTTTCTTTATACAGTGTCTGCCAAGGGAAGGGAGAGAAATGTTCCATGTGCCTGTGTAGTAGACCAGGGTTCTTGCCGACTGAGACCACACAGACTTGGATTCCTTTTCAGAAAGTGACTGGACATCACAAGATTACACATGTAAAGGCAGAAAGGGCTCCGTGTTGGATGGCACCTACCTGTGAATTGAGGCTGCTGAAAAAGTGTCTGCTGCCTCCCTCACATTCCTTTCATTGAGTAATTCTTTTTTTTTTTCTTTTCTTTTAAGCATGGGGAAGAGAAAGGATTGATATGCCCTCTGGTGTGCATTGTTAGTTTATACAGAGTTTCAATGTTCCCGTTAGGAGAACCATTCAAAAAAAATGAACGGAGCAAGACAAAGGTTTCTCTCCAGGGTCCATCAAAGCTGAAGAGAACCACCCACCCTGCACCCACCACAGGAGAGGAAGCAATCAAAGGACAATGCTCCCTAGACAAGCCAGGTCATCCTCGTTTTAAGCACACTGTTCCTATTCATCCTTAACAACAATAACAAAAAGTCGCAGGGCAAGAATTCTGCAGTTATCAAATAATCCCCAATACCAAAAGATTGAATTCTTCTTATGTTTGACATGTTTTCAAAGTTTTGAAAGCTTTATTCGTTTGTTTTTTAATTGGAAATTGTGACAAAGTTTAACGAGCAGATTGGCCGATCATTTTAACATGGGGTGAGTTCAGTTCGAGGCCTGAAGAGGGCCTCCTAGCCATAGTCCTGGTAAACCTGGCACCTGCTAGGATTTGAGTTGTACTCCACGCCTCCCTCCCACTCTCATAGGACCTTCTAATGCATTTCTTTTCAGAGCAGTCGGTAGCGGTAGCCAGGCACCAACTTTCTGGTCCTGGGGCTGTGTGGGCTGACGTCTGTGTGGTCTGTTAATCCCCTGGACTAAGTGTTTCCAGATGCCTTCTGATTTTCATCCCCCTTCTTTCCTCCAGATGGAGACCGACCAGGAGATACATTTTGGATGCAGAACACTCCCTGTGAACTCTCTTACAGCAATTGACCTTGCTGTCTCCTAGGACCCTGGTCCTCAGCCGTTAGGCCCAACAACTCATCCCCTCAAAGCACTTGGTGATGTCGAAGTTTTCATCAATTTCCTCCCGGCATGCTCCACCACATGCATGGATATATTTGCTGCAAAGATAAATGCACATCTGTAACTATCCTTTGCCAAACCTCCCTCTCTCTATATTTGTGGGCATACTCCCACTCTCCCGCCCACCCTGTTCAGCCTGGGCGTCTTGTCAAAGCATCTGTCATAGATCCCCACTATTGCAGGACTGTGTGTTTTTGTTCTTTCGAACCTCCAGTGTTGTCGCCAGCTGCCATCAGTTTCCTAACCTCCTGCTTATTGTATATTCCCATCCCCTTCACCCGAGTAAATGTCTGTTTGCCCGCTAGTCCATGCCTTCCTCTACTCCCCTTCCTTTCTCACCCCAGGCAAGTACCGAAGGATGTTTCCTTTAGCGTACAGCCATTCTGTTTACCTGCTATTGTTGATCTTGGGTGCCATCGGGTCGGTTCTGACCCAGAGAGACCCTGTGCACAACAGAACGAAGCACAGCACGGTCCGGCGCCATGCTCGCAATTGTCCCCATGCCTGAGCCCATTGCTGCAGCCACTGTGTCCGTCCATCTTTCCAAGGCCTGCCTCGTTTTCGCGGCCCCTCCACTTGATGTCCTTCTCCAGGGACTGGTCTCTCCTGACAACATGTCCAAAGTATGTAAGGGGAAGTCTTGCCATCTTTAATTCTAAGATTGATTTGTTCTTTTAGCAGTCCACGGTACTTTCAATATTCTTCTCCAGCACCACAATTCAAAGGCATCAATTCTTCTACGGTCTTCTTTCTCTCTCCCTCTTCTGGTTTTTTAAAAATTAAATCATTTTATTGGGGGCTCTTCCAGCTCTTAAAACACTTCATACATGAATTGTATCCAGCACATTTGTACATAGGTTGCCGTCACCATCTCCTCCCATGGTCTTCTTTATTTCAACGTCCAACTTTCACATGCATAGGTTGTAATGGAGACTACCATGGCTTGGGTCAGGTGCACCTTAGTCCTCAAAGCAACATCCTTGCACTTCAATATTCTAAAGCGGTCTTGTGCAGCCGATTTGCATCTTTTGATCTCATCACTGCTGCTTCCATGAACATAGGTTGTGGATCCAAGTAAAACAAAGTCCTTGACAACTTCAACCTTTTCTCCACTTACATGATTTCACCTATTGGTCCAGTTGTGAGGATTTCGGTCTTCCTTACCTTGAGTTGCAATCCATGAGGCTACAATCCTTGTTGTAATACCTTGAGGCTACAATCCTTGATCTTCATCAGCAAGTTCCCCAAGTCCTCCTCACTCTCAGCACGCAGGGCTGTGTCATTGCATAAAGCGTCTGTTAATAAGCCTCTCTCCGATCCTGATCCTGCATTCTTCTCCATATAATCCAGCTGCTCTATTTGCTCAGCATACAGATTGCACAAGTATGGTGAGAGGATACAAGCCTGATGCATACCTTTCCTGATTTTAAACCACACAGGATTCCCTTGTTCTGTTCACACAACTGCCCCTTGATCCATGTACAAGTTCCACATGAGCACACTGAATTGTTCCAGAATTCCCATTCTTCTCAAGGTTTTCCACCGTTTATTATGGTCCACACAGTGAAAATGCCTTTGCATAGTCAATGAACACAAGTAAACATCTTCCTGGTATTCTCTGCTGCGAGCCCAAATCCATTTACATCTGCAATGATATCCCTTGTTCCACTTGCTCTTCTGAATCCAGCCTGAACTTCTGGCAATTCCCTGCCACTGTGCTGCTACAACCGCTATTGGATGATCTGATGCAAAATTTTACTTCTGTGCAGTATCAATGACATTGTTCTATAGTTTTAGCATTCTATTGGGTCACCTTTCTTTGGAATGGACACAAATATACATCTCTTCCAGTTGTTGAGCCAAGTAGCTATCTTCCAAATTTCCTGTTCAAATAGTCCTGATTGTCCCATAAATGCCTTATTTTAGTTGTTTTGCTTGAATTAGGATTGGGGTGATATGCCTCTTAAATCTTTTAACCTATAACCATTTCTCACCTTTCTTTTTCGTTTCTTTTCATTTGTTTGTTGAATCTTACAGCCAAATGATATATTTTTAAATTATATTTTATGTATTTATTTCTATATTTTTATGTCATTAGCCCGGTTCTGATGGTGTAAGGGTAAAGGGGTCAGATATTGGGTTTGCTATTTGGCAAGAAATATCAGACGAGGTGCTATCTCACATCAAAGGACATGTAATGTCTACTGGTCTCTCTTTGTTGATCTTTAGATTGATGAAGTGCTGTGGGTTTGACCTTTCATCATAAAATTTCTCATCAGATTTTCATCTAGATTTTTTTACCAGCCATTCAGGGTCATTGCATTATACTATGATTTCATTAAAGGTCCCCAAATATTAAATTGTTATATCCCTCTTTACTAACCACTTGGAGCTCTTCCATAAAGAAGCACTTTCTCTCATGAGCTGCATCTCACTCTCACTGCCACCGAGTTGATTCCAATTCCTGTCATCCTGAGATGGGGGGAACTATCCCTGTGGGTCTGAGACTCTGAATCTGCGGGTGTAGAAAACCTCATTCCCCCCGCCCCCTACATGCAGCTGATGGTTGACTTTTTGGATGGCAGTCCAATGTGTGACCCACCAGGGCTTCCTCACAAAACGCTCACTACTGTGAAATACAGTTTATGGAGAAAAGGCAAATATCTGGATTCTTTCTTAGATTTTCCACTTTTCAGAATAAAGTGTGGGCATCTTACCACCTTCCAAGATGGCCAACAAGCTTTTGGATGTTCTTGGAAAAACATTTTAACTCGGGAATTATTCATGTTCGATGTGTTTTAACCCATGGCAATCACTATTACTTCTTTTGATATTCAAATTCCCCCGTCTCTGGCTAGTGAGATCCCCTTCAGTGTTGGCCCTGACATCTCTAAAACCAGTGGTTTTTTGTTTTTGCTTTTCCTGGTCTGATGAGTAATCCAGATTCATCTGATACATCCCCTGCCCAAGACAGGGAAGGAGGCACTTCTCTAAGACACGCTGGTCTCTTGGTGGGGAATGGTATAGGAAGGTCTGGATGCTGAAATGCTCACTGCTGCATTGATACATCTTAAGTCTTTCCACAGATCACAGAATATTTTCTGAAGAAAATGTCTACTTAAAATTTAAATTGCCAAGGCATTCATTGTCCTAGATGGCTGCGCATTTGTTCTGACACTGAAAATGTGTTTGTTATTATGTGCCATCGAGATGGCTCTGACCTAGCACCTTGCTGCACAACAGAATGAAGCACACCAGTCTGCCAGGCTGTTGATGAGAACAGGCATTCCGAATAGGTGTGTGTTCTTTCTCTTATGCCTGTCCCTTCCTTCTCTCTCCCTCTCCCTCTCCTGCTCTTTCTTTCTTAGAGTCTTAATGAAAGTGGTTGAGTTGTTTAGCCTGGGGTCCTTTACCAGGCTGTGTTCCATTTGCCACAGCGGGCACTCATAAGCTTTTGCCTTAAAATGGAAACAACTCTGTAATCTAAAAATAAAGTAATAGCAGGCTCCAGATCAAGTTTAAAATTCACGGAATCGGATGTGTAATAGCCAGGCCTGTAACGAGGACAAGTCATTAGCTTCTCAGTCTTCCCTCTTCCCACATGCCTGATTCTTCTGGATAGTGACCGGGGAGACATACCTGCTTTTCCGTAGCAGCGGTGCATTTCCCAGTGAGCGGGCTATTAAGGACTATTGTGTAGGTCATGGTTCTCAGCTGGTCCCCTCCAGCTTCCCCATCCCAGGGGGTAGATGCCACATCTGACCACAACAAGCAGAGGAAGTGAGTTACTTCTACAAACAGGAAGGGGATGGCTTCCCACAGGAATAAAAAAAGGTTGTTTTAGAATTATTCAAACTTTTCTTTTTGACCAGTGTGAGCCTCCCGATAATTTGCATTATAAGTTTGGCATTAAAGCACCCTTCTTACACAAATGTTAAGCACCCTTCGTACCCCGTTATCTGATCTACTTACTATCAAATACTTTCTTGTAATACAGTTTCCCTGTGTTGAAAAGATACAACTTTCCATTTGGTTCACCTGTGGGCTTCTTTTTACAGTCCCAAGGCAAAGAAGAGAAGTTCAGGGCCTTATGCAACAGAGACAGAACTACCCTTCAACATCCCCATCACTGACTGAGGCCAAGCCTGGAAAGACAGCTTACCTGTTATTACAAAACAATATGAGTTTGATCCCAACTTGTGGAGAAACCCTACGTCAGAGTCGCAATGTAATGTAATCGCTGGTCTGCAGAAACCTTTAAGCAAAGTAAGGAGGTGGTTTTCATCGAGAAGGCCAGAGGGATGGGGCCTGTGCTAAGCGTTCACGGCAAGATACGAGTCAAATTTCTCCTTGTTTTGCCTTGGAACAGCACACGTGAATCAAAACACACTTTGAACAGAAACAGCTTCGCAACACAGCGCTACCCAGGGAGGGTCACTTTTATAGAAGCCGAATACAAGGAAAGTAGAGAGAAGCGTCCATTCACAGACCTGACTAGGTCACCCAATGTCGTTAGCCCAAATGGACTCAGGCAATTAATCGCTCAGTGTGTTTGGCAACTACTCATCACCAGCCTGGACTCCAGGGGCTTTGATCTAATCCGCTATCCTTCGTCAAAGTAAGACCTGACAATACAGCCAATTTCGCTCTGCTTCTGTTATATAACAAGGGCCAGGGATTAAGGGGCGCTACTGACACTGCCTTGTGGGGTATATGGCAAAATCTTGTTCACTAAATTCAAAAGCTAACAAGAGCAACTGGGTGCAGCTGACCCCAGCCCTGGTGGTTCCCATGCCTCATATGCATGTGAAAGTTGGGCACGGAGTAAAGGACAACAAGGAAAAATGCATGCCTTTGAATTATGGTGTTGGGGAATAATATAGATGGTACCACGGACTGGTAAAAGAACAAATGGATCAGCCTTGGAAGAAGTACCGCTAGACTGTGCCCTAGAGGCAAGGATGGTGAGACTCTCTCTCGTGTCCTTTGGTCATGTTAACAGGAGAGACCAGTCTTGGAGAAGGACATCCTATTTGGTGAGGTGGAGGGAGAAGGGAAAAGAGGAAGGCCTTCCATGAGATGGATGGACACCGTGGCAGTCACAATGGGCTCATGTGGTTGGAGGTGGGTGGTGCCAGCCCCCCCCCACTAACCACGGGTTCAATAGGCACAAATGTACGGTTGAGATATACAAATATTATAGCAACATCATCGAAAGCATGAGAGCTAGAAGAGATATTGAAATAATGGAGTCAGACACATTTCATAGTAGCATGCTCACCTCAGCCCCACTTGGTGGTCCATGTGGAGAGAGAGGGAAGGGAAGGAGGACAAGGGGAAAGGGAAGAGGGGAGTGAGGACTGGAGAGGAGAGGGAGCGCTGAAGAGAGGTCAAGGGAAAAGAGCTCTCTACTGCTAACCCTGGCCTACATACCTTTGGGGGTGTGCAAGTCCACTAATTACAGGTAAAGACATATGTCACAGGAAGGGGTTGCACCATAGGTCCTATAGCAATGAGAGGGGACAATCCAGGGATACACACACAACAGGAAGAGGAGGCATATGACAAGATGGGCGGATCCTAGAGTTAGGATGGCAGCTTAACTTTGGATGTCCTGAGTGGGTTTGACCTGTTCTCTGGATCTCCATAAGAACCATTAGCAGTAGGGTGTAAACCCCACCTACAGGAACCCAGCTAATGGTCACAAGCCTAAACCCATTGTCCCCAGAAGCAGGGGTCAGGCCCACCCGTGGTGGGAGGAGACAGCAGGCTGACAGCTGACTGCCTCAAGGAAGGTAACTGTCACCATTAGCTGCAAGCAGTGTCCTAAGTCCAACATATCTGGGGGAGATGACTTGGGGGGAATCTTTCTGTGTCCCACAGGCTCAGGGCTAGGAACAACTGTGAGGGCAGCATGGGACCGCAGTGACCAGCCAGAGCACTGGACACCCAGGGTGGACAGTCATGATTACCTACTTATTTATGTGTACAGTAATCATGCTTGCCATCCTCAGGACAGCTTTACTCCAGATTTCTTGGGCACTTAAATGAGGCCTATAATGAACTCTGAAACACTGTTAAGAAGATTATTTCAGTCATACGTCAGCCGTATCAGGAAAGTGCTAACAAACCCACTTTTACAGTAATCAGAAATGTGCTGTGAAGCCTACGCACGCTTCAGCAATGCAATCAATGAGCAAAGTCAAAAAGGCTTTGCCTCTCAGATATGGCCCACTTGAGTCGTCACCAGTGTTGTCGGCAAGACCATTGAACATCAGGTGCCGGAGCGTGATCTAGTTGGCACTGCCTTGAAATGGCCAATCCCCCCAGATGAAGTACCGTTGATCATAATACAAAAACCTGGGATGAAATTGTAACAAAAATGGTGACAGTATACAAAAAGGCACATGAGTATGTATGTATAGAGATATATATATCTGAAGTATCCTTGATATAACACAGTCTTAAGTCCAGGTATATGGATTTCATTACAAAATCCATGTAACGTTTCTGAAGGTCTGGGTTTCGCCAACGTTCAAAAGTTGCATTAAAAAAAGACTTAAACTCGAGCTCTTAATTACAAAAATAGTGTCACAGAGCCTAAACAAAGATTTTTTAAAGGCCTAGTTAAAAGTTCTCTAATTAAAAATAAAAAGACCATAGATGTATCAATAACTATTTTAATACTGGAATTGTATTAAGTTCATAAGTCATCAGTTGGTTATACCAACAAAATTATTTAAGATCTTAAAACAACTTAAAAAACGATAATAAGGCTTTGAAAGGTATTTTTCTAGAAATGCAAATCTGAGCATCAGGGAACAAGTTCCTAGGGCAAAACACGGTGAGCAGTTAGCAACAGACTTGCTCTGTTGGTCGAAGCTTCTGACCACTGCCAGGTCTGAACAGCAACGCACCTACACCTGCTTAGCGATGGAATTGCCCACAAGCCTTTGCTTCCCAAAGCCAAAGCGAAACATGAGCTATCGTCATGCACAGCCACACTGCAGCAAGAGATGGCGTCCGCTAACAAATGCCGCTGTGGACCAAAAACGCTGGCTCCTCAGGGGCCTTTTCCACCCCAGAAATAACAGTGAGCCGGGAGTATCGCTTTAGTAAAGGGAGCGATCCTACATCCAAATATTCGGGAAAAACAAAGTCTTCCAATGAAGAATGGATAGCAAGAAAACACAAAGTAGACCCAGGACAGATATAGAAGCTACAGAGTAAAGAGGAAGCTCTCTCTCTCTCTCTCTCTCTCTCTCTCTCTCTCTCTCTCTCATCCTCCAGTCTTTCAACTTGGATCACCGGAATAAGAACAAGGGGTTCTTGTTTTGTTTCGTAACTTATGAGACCCTTACTGTAACCACAATTCAAGTAATAGCCATGAACTAGACATCCCTTTCCTCCTTATTCTGAATGATGAGGAGGATTTTGTATACCATATCAACAATATAATTTCTGAATGTTTAACAATGTTCATGTAAAATCTGCAAAGAAAGGAAGACTATCTAGTGATTAGTAAAATGGCTAGATTGTAAACTATACAGAATAACTTTAATTTCTTGTGATTCACCACAGAAGAATCTCTGCTCCTGTTGTTTCCTAATTTTATACAGCAAGCTATTTGCTCTCAAAATTTAATAAATATCTTGAAATACTAGGATTAAACTGAGTTTCACACTAACTGTAGCTGTATTTGAATGTTTAGCAAAATAGAAACTTTTCACATATAATGAAGTCCTTTCATAACTAGACCTAACTTTGTAAAGGGGACATTGTTTTGTGCTTTTTCTACTGAAGCAAACACCACAGAAGGAGCCCTGGAGGCCTAGTGGTTACTTATTGGGCTGCGAACCGCAAGGTCAGTGGTTCGAAACCACCAGCCATTCCTCAGGAGAAAGATGAGGCTATCTACTCTGAAATTCACAGGGCAGTTCTATGCTGTCCCACAGACTCGCTCTGAGTTGGCAACGACTTGATGGCAGTGAGAAACACCACAGACACAAGTCTCAGAGATAGTTCCATGAATTCCGCAGAGGAGACTCTTGAGCCTGTGTGGCACCGATCAGATGAAGGGCTACGAAGCTTAACTGGCCTCTTAGATGCGCCTCCCAGTGTACTCGGCCCTCTTTCTACAACAGTGACCCTGCTCTGCTGACCTTATCTCCACAAATCAGTTTTCCCTGCTTGGAACATTGTATGATGGAATCACACAGTCTGCACATGCTCTATGCCTGGCTTCTTTTGCTGAACATACATCTATGAGATGTACTCATCTTGTTATAAATAGCAGTAGTGTGCCCTAACCACCTGCCCATTGCAGTGTAATATTCTTCTGTGTGAACAGACACACTGTTAATTCATTCTGGTACTGATGGGCCTGTGAGGCATTTTGTGTTTTGGGCTATTATAAATAATGCTGCTGTGAACCCCATAGTACAGTATTGAGCATATGTCTGTGCATATTTTTGAGGAGGGTGTACTCAGGAGACAGCATGCACTCACAGAGACTATCTTCAACAGCAATAGATAATATTAACCAATTTTGGACATTGGTTTGATCAGTTCATACTAGCTTCTACCCACATCCAGTTGTTCAAAAGAGCTCTTTTGAACTTAATGAATAAATGTAGCTTTAATTCAATAAAGTAATCCTAAGCAGGATCTGCTTAATTAAACAATTCACTATTTACATGTAAACGTAACCAAAGCATTTAAATACCAGCTTGTAAATCACCATAATAAAATCAATTCCTAAAATTTTGTTTATCTTTCCCCTGACAACATAGAACCGTTTATTTAGGCTCAACCCTTTAAGGATAATTGAATTCTCCCAAATTTGACGCTAGGAAAGAACAAAAACTCACCTAATATATTTCTAGAATTGGTAAACCTCTGCATAAAGCGGGAACTGGTGAAGAGCAATTCAAACATCCTCTCAGCACTGATATGAAAAACACGGTTGATATAAAGCCTGCCATGGAGATCTCGCTCAGGAACATTTTCTGGGAGGGAAAAAAGACAACAAAAAGAAACCAAGAACACAGAAGCAAAATTAAAGGCATCAATTAAAGCTTACTTTTGGAGGGGCGCAAAACACTTTTTAAATGTGATTACAGTGAATAGCACACTCTAGCATACTATTAACATTCCAAATTGGAGTTTTATATCTATATCTATATGTATGCTCGAGATAGCTATAACTAATTAGAACAAACAGACAACTCACAGCCACTGAGATGATTATTCCAAGCCATAGCGACGCTGCATAGGGTTTCTGAAGCTGTGACTCTACAGGAGCAGAGAGCCTCATCTTTCTCGGAAAGAGCAGCTGTTGGATTTGAACCAACGATCTTTCAGTTAGCAGTCCAATGCTTACCGAATGACACCACCAGGGGGCGCTCGTTCTCTATTTAAACTACTTAGGATCAACCTTTCAAGTGGTAAACCACAGATGTGGAGAGGTTGGGCTGGGATCATACAAAAGTTCAATGCTGTCTCTCAAACGAACCTCGGGTGCTATTTGAACGGTGCTGTCGGCTGCGAGCGTGAGCTTGCTGGTGTGTAACACTCAGACGTGAGTGATGAGGACGCTTCCCAGAGAAGGATCCACACTCACACTGATTTTCAATATCAAATTAGAATCGATGGCAGTGGGCTTATTCTCAATATCAGGCATCAAAGAAAAAAGCCTCTTCTGAAAAGCACTCTTCTAACTGAAATGATGCTCCGGGTAATATTGCATTTGGGGGAAGTTGATAATGACAATGGCATTGAAAATTTGTAGTAACAAATGAAGATGAAATATCCATTCGCTGTTTTTCATATGCCCTAGAATCAGCATATAAATGAGGCCATACGTATATGTCAGCCATTGCAGTAAGAGCCTTACAAGTATTAACTCATCTTATCCTCACCAAACCCTATAAGATCATCCTGTCCATTGGAGATGAGGAAACTGAGGCACAAACAGAAGTCAACTGTCAATACTCTGTCAGATCTGGAATTTAAACCCACACCCCTTCCCCAGTACATATACTTTATCCCATAATACCAGGCGTTTAACTAAAAACTTAAAAAAAAAAAGCAGCCTGCAAAAGTTAAAGAAATAGTGTGAAGCAATCTAATCTGAAAGTTTGATGACTTCAGGACTGAAATGACTTATTATTATTTGAAGATCATGCCCTACAAGAACTATGCCAAACAGAAGAAAGAAAGAACAAAAAGAGCTATGTCAAGCCTCTCACATTTCAGAACTCAAACTCAAAATATAGCTTTGCCTCTGTCAATATGAATCTAAGGGAAGCAGCCTAGTACAGAAGAAGGGTATTGGTCTGAGAGTCCGACGGACTCTTCTGGCTCCCACGCTGCCATCAACGACCCCTATTTCTTCCTCGTTAAATGGCTTATGCTTCTCTATTTTGCTACAGGGATAAAGATCTTCGGGGCATCAGGTAGATGTTGATTTACCTTCTCCCTAGAATAACATTACATGTACGATAAAACTATTCACGGCCAATGTCAAAGAATAGCTCCTTTAGGGTGAAAATGAATCATGGCCACTGGGTGATTTGCTCAGGCTTTGTGGAAAAGGCATTTAGGTTTGAGAAAATAGCTTTTTCTGACACAGAAGCAATACAAGTTAATTGTAAACTTGATTAAAATAATCACAAAGGAAGCAAACAACTACAGGTGAATCTACTGATCTTCACAGAATCTATCCTACTTTTGCAATTATATCGGATATAGGCCTTTGAACTTGCTGATTGTCTCTCTACTGCATTACATTCTAAGTTCCAACCAAGGCCGCCTCCGTTTTAGTCACCAGTATACATCGGTATCTGGCACATAAGAATTAGGTTAATGTTTTTAAATGAAAACATGACTATATTTAAAATACCTTAAGATGTGTTTTTCTATAGCACTTTGAATTGGACTTTGACATTTTTTTTTGATGAACAATGTTAGATATAAAATGACCTGGAAGCCTGGTGGCACAAGGATGAAGCCCTTGGCTATGAATTGAAAAGTCAGCGGTTGGAATCCACCAGTAAGTCTACATGCAGGAGATAAAACCTGGGGGGGGGGGGCGGATCTGCTCCCAGAAAGATTATAGCCTTGAAAAACCAGTGACGTGATTCTACTCTGTCCTGTAGGGTTGTTATGAGTCGGGAGACAACCACCACCTCAAACAAGACTGCACTCAAATTGTCTTTCCAGCATCAGCATCCAATCTAAAATGCATTCTGTTTTGTTGTCATCGCCCCTGAATCTTCTCCGATCTATGGCAGCTTCTCAGTAGTGCCTTGTCTTTTATGACCTTGGCATGTTTGGAGAATGGTGGTCAGATGCTTTATAAAATCTTTGTCAATCTTTTCTGTTGTCCGTCCCTCAGGGAGGAGGTCACATGTAGATCCTTGTAAT